CCCATGGTCCATCTGTAGGTGCAGGCATTCTGTGGCTATCCTTTGGAGTCCCCTGTGACAGGCGTATCTGGAACCGGATGCCGCCAACCATATATTAATTTGTAGATTGTCTCTGCGACACTCTTGATTACGGACTTGCCTCTGCGGTTCTTAACAGGCTTTTAGTTAGGAACACGGCTTGAAATTCGAAGACTTATTTATTCAGTGTCGAAAATAAGTCCTTAGTACACTGGACAAAATGCTGTTTGTTCGTCTCACCTTTACTACTGCAGTCCATTATACCTGTTCTGTCAACTACCACGGACCAAGGATACCTATTTGTAAAATAACGCGACTGACTCATTTACTGTCGAATCCTAACCGGCTTGCTCTTTCAATGTTTGTATGCCGCTGTTATCGGCGAATTAAGGTTCAACCTCATCAACAACAGCAGTACATCATCCATTTGAACTGATACTTCGCTGCCACACAACCATGCTGAGCTACGAAATGAAGAATAATAAGAGGGAGGGAAGGGAGTCTTACCTGAAAACTTTAATGCCCTAAACAAACATCCAGGGTCAAGGCGCCTACACCTTGTGTAGACAACATACCGTCATAAAAAGCTGGCTATCGTGCAAACAAATGATGACATCGGTGAGACAGCTTCCTTGCGACCTTCACTGTCCCGCGTCATAATCAGCCATTACCCCGCAGATAACTCAGCACCAAACACACTTTAAACAGGCAATCTGATTAGGAGACGGCAGCAAACGCGCGACTGGTGTCCGTTGCGAGCCATGTCCTGTAAAGTCTCGAGCCGAGCACAAGGTGAGTCACGTGGACTCCAGCGCGGAAAGCGAGACGGACCAACGGCACCCAGTTTGGTCGTCAGTGACTTCATTTCCCGCTGCCAAGTCAACTTCTGTCCATCTCGAGCCTTGCGCCACCCTATACCTGGTAGACTAAAGAAGGCCCACTTAGGTAAGCGGTGACCAGGCATACATAGCACGTTCCCGTGCCAACACAACTTATTCAATGCTGTTTGTTGTTCTAGAGAGCTAGCATGCTTTTCACTACCCAGTACTCGCCTACGCACATTATCGTTACGGGCACGCTGGTGCCCTCGTACCCAGCAATGCTTCGCAGACAACGACGATCAAAGACTTGCAGGCGCCTCATATCTTCAGACCGAAGGGGCCAAGTCTCACTCCCATAGAGCAGAACGGTCCTCACTGTGGCCTTGTATACACGGCCTTTCAGACGGAGGGAAATTCCCTTCTGTCGCCAAAGATAACGTAGGTTCAAGAAGGCAGCTGTGGCCTTTGAGATGCGTGAGCTCACGTCAGTTGCTATGCACTCATCGTTGTTGATGCAGCTGCCAAGATAAGGGAATTCATCAAGCACTTCGATTTCCTCATTAGGAAGCGTCAAGGGGTCATAAAGTGGCTGGTGGTCCTGCAGCAACACTGCATGTTGAAGGTGCGAAGTGCAAACCAAATAATGTGACCACACTAGACAGGCTGTTCAGGGTTGATTGTGCCGCCTCAACATTGTCGAAAAGCAAGACGATATCGTCCGCATAATCAAGATCAAGTAATCTGTCACCAGGCAACACTTCAACACCTACATCGTGAGATTCCGCAAGGGGACACTTCATGATAGAATCCACGACGAAATTGAGCAGAAATGTGGAAATCGGACAACGTTGACGAACGCCACTTGTGGTCGGAAAGCTATCCGATAGGTCACCATAGACCCTGATGCGGCGTGTAGTGTTCGAGTATAGAGCACGAAGGATGTTCACATATTTTGTGGGAACACATTTCCGCCCAAGTATTTCGAACAGAATCGGTCGATCGACTGAATGGGACGCACTCTTGAAATCGATGCACACAGCTATTGTCCGTCTGCGTTATGTGTGACGCTGCTCTAGAACCTGCCGCAAGGTGAATATATAGTCTATGCAGCCATGTCCTGGGTGGAAACCTGCCTGTTCTTCCCTAATACGAGATTCCCGTTCTACGGTGAGGCGACGAAGGAGAATCGAGGCCGGTAATTTTGTCACATCTAGGGTTAGGTTAATACCTCTGTTTATAGAACAGTCTGTGCCACTGTCGTTCTTGCATATTGCTGCACTATAATCGATATGCTCCAATTAACCGGAATGCTCTTTTCCTTCCAGATACGTTCGCAAAGGGGGGTCAGTGCTTTGCAGAGGACCTCACCTCTATCCTTAAATAGTGCATGTGGGAGAGAATCTGGGTCAGCGGCACGAAAACGATTGAGGCCTGTGATCGCGTTTCTGACGTAGGCCTCCGACGACGGCTCTAAAGTAACCGTCCGTGGCTCGTCCTGCATCACCTGCGTAGGAGGAAGTCCGGGAGCAGGGGGCAGCCTAACTGATCTTGAAAGTGTTTCGCCCAACGAGTCATACGGCGCTCCTTATTGTGTATCAGTGCACCCGCGCTGTCTCTGATTGTCTCACTGACGCCTGGTTTCCTAGGACCAGTGGTGCGGATCAGCTGGAAGAGCTTGTGGTAATTGCCTACTGCTCCTACCTCCTCCATTTCTTGAGACTGAGTGGTCCCCCAGGCTTTTTTGTCAGCACGTAGGCTCCGCTTAATTTCGCGCCGAATAGCCCGTCTGGTCACATTGTGTTCAGAGCCAGTCTGGAGGTTTCCTCTAGATTCCCACAGGTTCACCGACCTCTCGGATATCCAGTGGCGGGTGCGGTGACGATTGATAGTGTCACAAGCAGATGCTCCTGTGTCGTACATGACGGCCGAGATTCTATTCCACTGAAGCTCAGTGTCATTAGAACAAGACAGTGAAAGTTCGATGGGCAGTGCGTCTTGATAGGCTTGCGTGACCGAGGACTGAGACAATTTCTCAGTTGCCAATCGGGGGAGACGCTTTGTGCGCCTTCCGGTAAAGTTAATGGAGAAACGACAGCGTACCAAGGTATGATTAGAGTCGACGCAGATATTCCAGTACGAGCGGCAATCCAGGATGGAATCACGCCACCTGGAACGTACGGCAATGTGGTCAATTTGGGTTCATCGCTGGCCAGCTACAGTTGGACGCCAAGTGGCAATTCAACGCCCACTCTGTTTAAATGCAGTGCTACTAATAGACAACTGGTGCTCCGCACACAGTTAGAGCAAACGCTTACCGTTGTCAGTCTGTTCGGAGTGAAGCCCATAATTACCACCCAGCTGAGCTTTTGAAGAGCTCAGATGCCCTGCTTGTGCGTTCGTACTCCCTGTAAGTACTATAATGTCTGAACTAGTAGCATTGCGTAGTAGCGCGTTCAGTTCGTGGTGGAATGTGTCCTTGACAACATTATAACTGCAGTCGATGGGATCATAAGCGATAATCACAAACAAACAGCGTTTTGCACCACTTCGTGGATCAACCTTAGCTGATGTCTTCAAACGGACTGTACATAAACGACTGTTCACCGGAATCCAATCAACGAACGATGGCTCAGTCTTGGAGCTTGGAATGATACCTACACCAGCCTGAACTGTGAGTGCTGCTTCGGCGTTTTCGGATGGTGCATTAATAACGAGAGGATAAGCCGGGCGCGGTTAATTTAACAACCCCATAAAGATCATTGATTCTAGTTTGTACACACAACACACCAATACCCAAAATATCCAAGGGGCGGGCGAGTAAAGCCTGTTGACCTGTTTTAGAGTGCGCACGTTGAACGCCGCCATAGAAACGGGACAGCGTGGCCTTATAAGGGACTGTTGCCGATAGTCTTCCGGTGCGTATCGCGAGAAAATAGCTGCAGTTGGTTCTACTCTGTTGGCACTTCGGTTGCTGTCATTTAAGCTGTGAATTATTTTAGGAAAGTTAGTAATGGAGATCGGGATGGGAGTAAGAGAAAAAGGTGGAATAGAAAGAAGGGAGGCGCCAGCAGTAGCATGTTTTCGCTTATCCTTATGTGCTTTATGCAGCACATAAGGCGACCCCTGATAATCTGCTTGACGGCGGATGCAAGATGAAATTTATGTTTGAAGAAAAAGTCATGGTTGTATGTGGGCTGAGATACTGCCAGGTCGCGTAGATAGTTGGACGATTAGGGTCCTCATTCAAAGCCTTTGGCTCAAATGCCTGTCTGCAAGGCAGAGGGGAGGTGGCAATGATTTAGTTTTACAGAAATGAACGCCATCCCATTTCAAACCATCAACCTGGAGGACCAGGAGACTGAGTTTGTCTGACCTCTCATCATTGACCAACCTGGTAGGAGTAGCTCTCAAGGTGCCCGTAGGCATCACCCAGTATAGGTCAATGACTCAAGGAGGTACGCAAACCACGTTAAGGTGCAGTCTCGTTGCGACGGGCGAATTAAGATTGGTTATGACGCGAAAAGGGAAGCGACAAGGGGACTAGCTCCTCAACATCGCATTCTTTTCGCGTGATAACTGTACTACTTTTTACTTGTTGACAAGGTATACACGCCTTGGTCGTGTATGTATGCTCAGATCACCTGGATGTTACGTTAAGTCTCCTTCCTTGTCCTTCCTTTAATCCAGAGTTACTGTAGTTATATGACAGTGCAACACTGGCACAAGCGCTGATTTGCTGCTTTTGATGCCCGGTGATGAGTTGGACCATCCAACCCTCCACTTTCGAGACAGGGATTAAACCACCGGATCACGTGGAGTGACGGCAATCGACGCGACCGAGTATTCAATCGTGACTTGTTGTGACTCAGGAGTGGGTGGCGCTTTGCAAAAACGATTACGACTTTTATCCCATATGTTCATTCTTTACTCCATATGTCTCCTGAGAATTGGGCCCACCTCTTTGGTAATGTTCTCACCTTTTCAGCTGTGGCTCCATCGTCGAACTGAGCTCTAGGGATTGTCAAATCAAGCCCTGACCACTCTTTGTTACCGTATTCTCACTTAGCAGCATATCCATTGGAAGCTGCTCCACTTTTGAGTAACAATAGCTATAATTTATGAAAGTATATCCTCCATTTTGCCATTTTCTATCCAGGGACTATGTGTTCTAAACGACGGATCGATTTGGCTGATCCGCACTTTGCACACATTCACAATGAGATGGGAATATTGGCTGAATACAGTCGGGCTGACGCTAAGAGCTTTTTGCTTTTGATCCGGTCCCTTATGCCGAATTCCTTCAAACTGAAGGTTTGTTGATAAATTACTTCTCTTTCCTCCAGCTAATCGAATATGAATTCGCCAGAGATAACAGCGATCCAGCTACCGCTGCTCAACATTTGTCTCAGCTGGCGTCATCTCACATTGAACTGCTCCAGGATGAGATTAATAACCTTTTTAAGAAAATTGCTTCCCCGTCTCCAGATCGTGTTTCAATAGGTAACGATTAGTTTTATGTGAGGAACGCTATTCATTTCTAGACATATTTTCTAGACTCAGCTCGAATGCTCAGCATGAAATAATTCGAGTATACGTGGAAAGTTACTCTCATCACCTGGCTAAAGCAAACATGTTGCTGTCGCTACTTTCCATCCGAGAGATTCGCGCTTCAACTCAGCTAACTCCTTGGCTGCTCACTTGGACTTATGAGTGTCTTCGTGAGGGCGAGCGACTATTATTAAGCTCATCCTCTCCGGATACCAGATCAACTCACTCGCACCAGAGATCTCCTGTCGTTTCCTCCGAAGCGGCGTCCGCTTTGATCTCCCCCAATTTAGGTGCCAAGTAAGCATGTGGTCAAAATGTTGACTCATTTAGAGGCGGGGGATAGCTGACGATGAGAGTGAAGAGGGGGAAGTCGTAGGTGATGACGAAGATGAAGAAGAGGATTTGAGTGACTTTAAGACAAACGTAGCTGGTTGTCAACCGCCACCGGACAAAAATCTGGCCATAAATATCTACCGGTTAAAAATGGCCTATGAGCTTTTACCCATCATTCACAAGGTCAGCTTCTTGTTTCATTTTGTTATCACACTTGTTTGTTAGGTCTATGGACAAGTAAAAATTGATTCTAGATTCCTGGAAGGAGTGATCACGTATTCTTTGAGTTTCTTGGTAAATTTTCTCCTTTTTTACCCTGAAAGTTCTTCGGTCCTGGGTACGGACGAAGCAATCGGTAACTTATTAAAAGTTCACCCCAGAGAATACATTGCTGTATGCCTTTATTTTCTGAGCGATTTGCTTAAATGGTCGCGGACTATTTTTACTGCGCCCGATGCGCCGACCGCTTTTGAATCCCACGGATACACCTTGAAAACTTCAAAAGAATTACTGAACATCCTTTTACAATGCATCGACGAGCTCTCCGACTACGAAGCTACTTCCAGAAGACGTCGACCAGCTGGGAGAAAATCAGAAAGTCACCATGCAACAACCAGGGCTTTATCGTTTCAAGCTGCATCACTATTTTGGTACATTTATATCACACTTGCGACGGAGCACCTTTTCAAGGATAAGCCTGGCATGCACGAAAATATGTCTGCTGCTTCAGTGTCTTCCTATCCATTGAATGTCTCCACCTTATTTTCTAACCATGTTGTCAAGGTAGAGCAAATTTCTTCGGATAACACTACCTCGCCACTGCTTTTACTTGCTTGCCTGTTGCGTCATCGGAAATACGATGTGCAATCGAGAAGGTATTCCCTGGGCCAAAAGGATTTAGACAAGTTAGTGGCGAAAATTGGCCCATCAGACTCTTGTAATCGCCTTTCCGGGACGGTTTCTTTAGAGAAGCTTGTTGAACTAGAGCTGGCTCTTGTCGGACTACTGGAACTTCCCGCACTTCATATCTCCAACTCTGATGCATTCGCTCATGCTTATCCCGAAGTCGACCGCAGCTTTTTGCGATGGATCTCTTGTGCTTGTTCAAAGAACATTTTCTCCATTAAAGCATTGGAGCGTTGTGATCAGCAAAGAATTTACTTCTTGCAGAACTTTTCTGTTATACGTCAGTTAGCACCAGATGACAACACGTATTTTCCCTCTTTCATGGACCACGACATCTGGTTAATTCCTCTAACTCTACGGGCGGTTGAATACTTTGGGTGTCGAATAGTTGCTCACTGGCTTGAATGTGTATTGCAAAAGAAATGCGGTGTTTCTGAGGAATGCAGACTTAATGCGGCCTGCTTTATTGTTGTTCTTTGTCAGATAGACTCCGTAAAAGGATACGGATCACTGTTTACCCGGAGTTACCCTTTGCCTTGCAATGAGGTGTTGATCATGCTTCGGGACAACTGGTCTCGTGCCCGGCTTCGCCTTTATCCATGGCTAATCGGTTCTCCGGAAGTGTTCTCGGACGCGAGTCTTTTGAACCAGTTGGTTCAGTTTGAAGCTAGCTACCGGTCAGTCCACCAAGAGTAAGTTCTTCATCTCCAAGCATTTGACGCTTTTCACGGTTAACGAAGTTGGTCCTTGTTCATGTTTCCCACTTCCGCCTCTTCTATTTTCGTTTGAAGCTTAGCGCTTCTTAGAACAATATTGCTTGCATTTTCTGTTGAATACGCAAATAAACTATTGCTTCAAAGCCCTATACCCGATAACTAATGCATTTCGATGTTAGTTGAGAGGATACGCTTCGCTTACCGTCTTGTACCCTACTGCCTCGTCTCCTTAAGCAAACGAATCTCCTGTATACCGGGGTGACATCTGTCTATGAAATGTATATTACACTGACTTCGAAGTGTATTGATCGACTAGCTCGCAGGAACTTTGTATGGTAGTTGCTTTCAGCTTACGCGGAACTTCCACTCTTAAGGCAAAAGACTAGGGTAACGAGACGAGGAAGTTTGAGCAGCTGTCATACTCCAGACTGTTGTTTTGTGCCGCTTCGTGTATGTGGTGTTCCATTCGAGCGTCTGATTTTTAATAGGTTCCCCACCTCTGCAGCGTCATTTCACGGTCCTTTTGTTGGGGCGACGAAAAGCCCCATATGTTATATTCTAGTTGCTACTACTAACACCTCTTTCCCATGTGCTTAAGCCATACGATTTCCACCTGAACTCGACAGTTGCTGATCCGTCTGTTTAGGCTACACCGAATGGGTTTGATTTACCGACATCGTATGTGCATACGGACTACAGTTGTTTGTGTTGGGTCTTTCATTTTCACCTCTTCCTACCGTCTTAATTTTTGATTGTATGGCAGTGTTGTACTGGAACAAAACACTGTTTTACTGCTACCTATTTTTGCTTGTAGTTAACCTTTAATGTCACGTATCTCATCATTGGATTTTGTGGAAAAGCGTTCAATTGACAAACTTTTCCGCTGCACTTTCCACCCGTTGTTTTTCTGCGTTCTCTTTGCACTCATAAGTGTTTCCATATTTTTCCCTTTCCAGTGTCGAACACCCGGACTTTTCGGACGCATGTGTTAGATGCATCAGATCCTCTATCTCGATTCCAATTAGCACCCGCCTGTCATCATTCGTGCAGTCAGAGTCACCTACTATATTCTCTTGCCTAAACTACATCGAATAACACCAGTCTCAGTCGCACTGCCGTTCTTTATTTCGATTGGAGGGCGCAATAAACAACTTTCTCAATTATGCAAACTAACTGGCTTACACGGGAATTTCTAGCTTATATACAAGGTGCGTCTGAAAATTTCGGCGAATGATCTTAGAAAATAAACAAGATTGGATTTGGATAACCTACGGTGTAGTTGGATTGCGACGCGCAACCTCTATTGAGACCTCGGTTCACTTTGATATAGACCTCGGTCATTCCGATCACTAGGACTGCATCTGAAATGGAGGTGTTTCGTTGTTAATCCTCCTAGCTCTGCCACTCCAGTGTTGGGAGAAACAACACCGAAACACCTCCATTCCAAAGGAAACAAGAGTTACAAACAAAATACCTTCACTGGCCTTCAAAGTAATCACCACGAGCTACAACACATATCTGACATCGGTTGGAAACTGTCAGCAGACGCTTCTTGTGGAATCGCTCGAAGCGTCGTGGTCACGCGTTGTTGCATATCCGCAATGTCTGTGAAGCCTATGCCTTTCAGGACTAATGTAAGGCGAATCAATAAAAAGAAATCTGCAGGCGCTAGGTCCCCGTATCGTATTGGTAGCACCAAGTCCTATCTCATGCTATGATAGTTTCCAAAAACTGCGGATTCCGGTCGATGAAACCTCCAGACGATTTTACTTCTGCTCCTTTGTTCGTGTGTGCGCTATAAACGGGGCACAACTCTTCCAGCTTTTAGTGTTCTTGAGCCATACAGTTCTGTCATCGTTCTCAAAGACAGCCGCCGATCATCCGCAAGCATTCATCACGCTCGTTAAAGGTCTGAAATGACGCTTGTTTTCGTTCGACTCGAAAGCGGCTCATTCTCGACATTTTCCTTTCGTCTCTAAAGCGTTTCAAGTCAACTCAACATAGGCTTTATCAACCCGACTGGGAATATTTTCAGCATTTTACACTAGCACTGCGGAGGTAGTGAGGCATAACATTACCTTGGGATTACAATAAAAGCGTTAAAAAGACATGCATGCCCATCACTCAAATTAGCGATCACGTGTGGTGCTAATGAGTTCCTTGAAGTCCACAAGAAAACGGGATAAATACGATGAGATGGTTGGCGGCATCCGGTTACGGATTTAACTGTCACTGTGGCCACCACAGGGACAACCACAGCACACCTGCGCCTACAGAGGGACCATGGGTGGCTTGCGCTGCACCACCCACAGCTCCAACCACACACCCCATATCCAGTGTAAACCCGGAGGAATAAGACCAGGAGACATTTGGATGGGAGCCACGTTTCATCAATGGAGTCGGTCCACACTTCTTCACTGGCAAACACAAGCACAGTGTATTTGGGAATCAAGCGCACATAATGTGGTGACTAGACCGTAGTCCGCTTCACACAGTGCATGGAACCACTCTTCGAGCCTAGCACGGCCACGAGGACCGTGCGCCCCGTCCCCTCTAGCAGCGACCGACTGTCTCCTGGAACCATTATGGACGAGATAGTGGGTAATAGACAGGTAGGTTCCTTGTCAGCATGCACATCAAGCGCAGCCAATCACATGAAATGTCGAATAAAATAGATCGAATACACCGTACGGATATGCCGCTAAATTAGCATATGAAATAAGTGGATTATCAAAGTAGCGGTGATAGATTCAGGATGGCAGCAAAAGAGACCAAGGCACATATGTAAGAAGACAAAAATAAGCGAAGTTAACCACCGTTAGTTTAAGCGAAATGGACACTTTAATAAATTGTTCTGGTACACATTAAAATGTGGTAACAAAGTAACACGAAGACAAGGTAGAAAACCTGCCACCTGAAGTAAAGAAACTCAGCACGCAAGCGTCCCGTTAGTAAATTGAATGCAGCGTACCTACCAACGCTGCGCTGATTCTGCTTACGTTCTCAGCAGGCCTCGTCGTCGTTTCGATGCTGGATCTGAGTGGCCTCGCCCGTGGCTCACTAGGCCTGCCTGGCTCAGGCACTTGCGACCGCATGTGCTTCAGCACCATGCGGTCGATGTCGATAGAGTACAGCCCATCAGCGCCTTTCGTATCCGCACCCGCCGCTTCTTCTCTGCATGCACGAGGGCTTTCCCTTGCACCTCGGCAACTGCGGACCAACCGCTTTCGATTCCCATGACTTGCAAACAATGATTGAACGTGAGAGGCTCACTTTGATAATGTCCTGGTAATGTAACTTCGGTCTTTCCACGTGCCGTTTCCCTGCACTCAGTCGGCCATAATTGTCACGGTATATGGGTCGAATCCATGCGGCGAATGTACCCCAGCCACCTCAGGTTCCTCAGCAGAATAATTTGTCATCAACAGCAGTGCATCAGCCATTTGTACTGATACTTCGCTACCATGCAACCATGATGACTTATGAAATGAAGAATAATAAGTGGGAGAGAAGGGGGACTTACCTGAAAACTTTAATGCCCTAAACAAACATCCAGGGTCAAGGCGCCTACACCTTGTGTAGACAACATACCGTCACAAACAGCTGGCCATCGTGCAAAGAAATAATGACATCGGTGAGACAGCTTCCTTGCGACCTTCACTGTCCCGCGTCATAATCAGCCATTACCCCGCAGATAACTCAGCACCAAACACACTTTAAACAGGCAATCTGATTAGGAGACGGCAGCAAACGCGCGACTGGTGTCGGTTGCGAGCCATGTCCTGTAAAGTCTCGAGCCGAGCACAAGGCGTGTCACGTGGACTCCAGCCCGGAAGGCGAGACGGACCAACGGCACCCAGTTTGGTCGTCAGTGATTTCATTTCCCGCTGCCAAGTCAACTTCTGTGCACCTCGAGCCTTGCGCCACCCTACACTTGGTAGACTAAACAGGACGCTCCTAGGTAAGCGGTGACCAGGCATACATAGCACGTGCCCGAGCCAACGTAACTTATTCAATGCTGTTTGTTGTTCTAGAGAGCTAGCATGATTATCACTGCGTAATACTCGCGTACGCACATTATCGTTGCGGACACGCTGGTGCCCTCGTACCCAGCAATGCTTCGCAGACAACGATGATCAAAGACTTGCAGGCGCCTCAGATCTTCGGACCGAAGGGGTGAAGCCTCACTCCCATAGAGCAGAACGGTCCTCACTGTGGCCTTGTATACACGGCCTTTCAGACGGAGGGAAATTCCCTTCTGTCGCCAAAGATGCCGTAGGTTCAAGAATACAGCTCTGACTTTTGCAATGCGTGAGCTGACGTCAGTTTCTGTGCGCCCATCGTTGTTAATGCAGCTGCCAAGATAAGGGAATGGATCAAGCACTTCGATTTCCTCATTAGGAAGCGTCAAGGGGTCATAAAGTGGCTGGTGGTCCTGCAGCAACACTGCATGTTGAAGGTGCGAAGTGCATACCAAATAATGTGACCACACTAGACAGGCTGTTCAGGGTTGATTATGCCGCCGCAGCATCTTCGAAAAGCAAGACGATATCGTCCGCATAATCAAGATCAAGTAATCTGTCACCAGGCAGCACTTCAACGTCTACATCGTGAGATTCCGCAAGGGAACACTCCATGATAGAATCCAGGACGAAATTGAGCAGAAATGTGGAAATCGGACAACGTTGACGAACGCCACTTGTGTTCGGAAAGCTATCCGATAGGCCACCGTAGACTCTGATGGGGCCTGTAGTGTTCGAGTATAGAGCACGAAGGATTCTCACATATTTCTTGGGAACACCTTTTCGCGGAAGTATTTCGAACAGAATCGATCGATCGACTGAATGGGACGCACTCTTGAAATCGATGAACACAGCTATTGTCAATCTGCGGTATGCGAGACGCTGCTCTAGAACCTGCCGCA